TAATATTAGTCACATATACCTTATACATTCAATGATGACCAAATAATTTATCACTAAAAAATATATTTCGTTACTAAAAATTATCAATTTTCTCTAATCAATGCATCCTACATCGATAAAAAACACATAAGAGAATAATGTTTTACACTATAAATATATTCCACATCGATAAGAAATATTTAAGAAAATAAATTTTTGCATTATAAAACATGTGAAACTCAATAAAACTTGAGATTAGTTTGGGTCTGATTAATTTTAATTAGATTTGATTAATTTTAATCGGATTTAATTAATTTTAATCAAAATTTATTAGTATTGAAATAATAATATTTTTTATTAAACTTTTGTGATAAATTTATATATTATTTTTTTGTGACAAAATTTTTGTTAAAATATTTGTGTTATAATTATATAAATATCTTTTTTATTTAATATCAATTTTAATAATTAATGACTAAATTTTACATCATAATTGCATTTGTGACGAAAATTTTTTTGTTACGAATAAAATTATTATAAATAACTTGTTAATCATGTCAATTTTTTCTATCACTATAAAATTATTTTCTATGACAGATACCTAATTTGTCACTAAGAGCATTAGTGATAAGGGTTTTATTAACGGTTTAAATTTTATCACTAATAATAATTTATGATAAAAAATAAATATTTAATGATCAATAATTTAGTCACTAAATGTGAATTTTCTTGTAGTGTTTGCTCCCTACGTCATATATATACAACATGAGAGGACACTTAGAGATCCATTTTACTTATCGAATTTTTGCACAATATAGTTCAAAAATATATATTAAAGTTCATAATAACACAATTGGACCATGATACATACACACCATCCTTACACACTCCGTTACACACACCCACTATCCGTTAATCTCTGTTAACTCCTAACGCACCCTTTCTCCTCTCCTCTCTCCTTCTGGCTTGCCGTTCACCGTCCTGACTAGATCCATCTTCCTCTCACCTCCATCCTCATCCTAATCATTAGAAGCCTCATCTTCCTCTTCATCATCATCATCAGTTTCACCGGCACAGAGCATGAAGCTGAGCAAGTGGGAACTTGCCAAGGAACCCAGATCTGGTGTTGGGGAAGGGGAGAGAAAATGAAAAGGCATGGGCTACAAGTGCTTGGAGCGGCCTTGCCACTCTCCTCCAGCTCGTCACCCTTCTTCTCTTCACGAACATACCAAAAAGAGCAAGACATATTTGCAGACAATTTCAGAAGATGATTTGAATTTCCGAGATAGGAATTGAACGGAATTTTCCAGCGGATGACGGCATACAAGTTCAGGAAAGCAGGCGCTGTTGGGTTCCTTCGATTGACCCAGCAGCAACCGAGCAAAAAAGAGAAATTAGAAGGGAAAATGTCCAGATCCGGTGTTTTTTTTGGTAAAAATCCAGATCTGGTGTTGATTGAGGGATAGAGAGAGAAAGAAAATGAAAGGAAGAAATTGTAGGGCTCATTGGGGGCGTTTCACTAGATCTTTGAGGGGATGGGTCTCGGTGGATGGGTCTCGGTGGATGCATTGTTCTGGTATGACGAAGGATCGTCACTTCATTCAATTTCCACTGCAATTTCCTTTTTCTGTTATTGTTTCTTATTCCTTGTCCAAATTTTGACTTTTTTATGCATTTGATTTGGTGCTTCGAGCGGTGGCGCCGGCGATTACCTCCCCATGGAGACAGAGGAGGTGAGTTTGGGAGTTAACGGATCATAACGGAAAGTGAGTGTGTGCAAGGAAGTGTGTAACGGAGGAGTATGTTTGTAGCATTTTCCAACACAATTATTATATATTGAAATTTTATGTTTACTCTTATTAACAATAGAAGTTGGGAGTTAAAAAAAGAGACTTTAATATTATTTATAAAATAAAAATTGATAAGTAAATTAAATCATTCATTTTAAAAAAATATGAAAAAATGTACTTAAAGGAGCATGAGTAATTATTTATAGGCCGAAACTGACAGGCCAAGACAATCCCAACCATTGATCACAGTGCATCCACTGGGCGAGCAAGTTTTGGTACGCAATTCATTTATTATAAATTTTTTAATAAAAACCAAAATAGTCTGATTTTAGTTATAAACAAAAATCAAAAATAAAAATAAAAAGCAACTTCCTTAGGCCGTTTAGTAATGTTGGTTTTAGATTTTAGTTTTGGTTATTAAAATTTAATAGCGGTGAATTAAAATAAAAAATTTAATAAATTAAAAAAAATAGTTTTGATTATCATTTATAAAATTTTGTACGTGTTAATTTAAACTTAAAAATTTAAATTTAGAGATTAAGGGTCCATTTTAATCTGTTAACCACCCACCATATCAAAACTAAATATGAAAAATAGCATGGATTCTTATTACGTACCTTGCTGTGGAATAATCGTCATCGGGCACGACGTCATAACGGCCTTGTGATTTGAGTGCTTTTGATTCAGTCTGGTAAATGGAGTCGTTCAAAAGCCGAAGTTCCAACCCAGAAATAATTGGAATACCGGAGCCATTATTCACCAAGCAGACATCTATTGTATCGGTACTTAAAAATTGGATGATTTCGTAGTGCCAGTACCAATTCCCGTTCTCTAATCTCACAGTGCTCCAATAATTCACGCCTAGGTATAGGTCAAACATAGGGGGTTTTTGCAGGCCATCATAATTTCCGTAAGTGAAGAAGACTCTGAACATGTAGTGGTGGCCTCTACCTTGTTTAGGTTTAAGGTGGTAACAGTTCTTCTTTCCCTCTGGAAAACTTCTCAGGGTATTAAGCATCTGCACAAGTTGAGGATTGCCAGCAGTGTATTGTGGGGATACCAGTTTATTCAGTCCAGTTGTAACGAAATCCGAATCTGACTGGTAATAGATTCCACTTTGGTCATCCTTATAATCTTCATTCACCCCACAATCAATGCTTATTGAACCTTCACTCCATACAAATTAGAATCATGTTAATAACAATTAAACATCAATTTGGAACTCAAATTAAAAGAAAATAAAATTAAACAAAGAAAGTTATATTATTTAAAATTATTATCAATTTATATGTATAGTTTAATAAGCTTGGATTCAGTTACCTGACCTGTCTATGGCAGTAACGACCTTTCTTGGTTCGATGTGTTTATCGTGTCCCGCGCACAATCCAGACATGAGGGCTGCAAGAATGAAGACCGCCCATGCCCGTGGTTTAAAGACCAAAGTTTTGCCAGCAGTCATTTTACTAACAAATATTGATTCGCAGAAATGGGTATAAAATTGCAAGTTATGGATTATATAGGATTTAGTAGACAAGGATTCACCTTTATTGGAGCATAAAATACGACAAATTATTTGACTCTTGCACTCTCTGGCCAACACTTTCACTCTTATTGGGCCACGTTATTTTCGTGGGTACGAGGTTGCGGTTCAAAGCTGAAACAAGCTTACGTGGCACAATGAAAGGGGAAGTGTTGGCTGAGAGTGCAAGAGGCGAGTGCCCCTAGCACTTCTCTATTGAGAAATGCTATTTACACTCTTTCTACACTCTTTTTTAGATATTTTTTTTGTCTTTAGGCCATATAATAAAACATAAATTTATAGTGATGAGTAATAATTTTGAATTTTAAATTTCAAAAACATTAATTTTAATGTTAATTATTAATTATCAATTAATTTATATTTATATTTTATGTAACTCAATCACATAAAACATATTCAAAAGAATATGTTCAAAAAAGAATGTCAAAGAAAGTATTCCTTGCACTATTCCTAACACTTCTCATATTTTTTTCGTGCTACTTGCTCTTAAACCAAGATTTGGGCTTATAAAATCTTAGGGGGTTTTTGTTTTAGCCTTCTACAAAGGGTTTTAAGTTATTGACCCTAATCAAATGACTTAAATATTTTAAAATATAAATAAAAATAATTATTAATTATTAAATATCACTTATTAATTATCAATTGTATTGAAATAATTAATCTAAATAACCCTCTAGTTTGTCCATATTATTGATTTTTTCCTCTTCCATTGTCTCCACACTCTGAATTTTCAGGATGTTTGTGATATTAACGTAGGACAATATTATATGCATTATGCAATGCATTTTCACGGTTAAGGTTAAAGTATTGAGTACTCCACATGAAGAGATTAATCTCCATTAATTTCCCAGACCTCTGTTTAATTTCTATCTTGGCTGTAGTTAATTAAATCAATGTCAAGACTCAAGACGAAAAAAAGTTGCTTTCAAACATGGTTGTATGTAGATGGAAAAAATCAAACAATTTGTATAAGCGTAACTTTTACGTTTGGTATTTTGAGGTGATGTTCATGTAACGTTGCTTGTACAATAAATTTTGAATAAGTTTTGAAATGCGAAAATTGGAGGCTTTAATTTACTAAAATTTAGAAATCAATTAATTAATCAACTGATCTTCAAATTAACAATAAGTTCATAATTACAACACACTTTTCTACCTAGCATTCAACTGCTAAGGAGTTTAATTCCATGCAAATGTTGACTATAATCAAATGGGTTAAGTATTTTAAAATATAAATAACAACAATAACAATTAATCGTTAAAGATCATCCATTAAATATTAGTTATATTGAAATAAATAATCCAAACAACTCCCTAGATTGTCCATATTATTGGTTTTTTCCTCTTCCATTGCCCCCACACTCGGAATTTTCAGGATGTTTGTGATATTAACGTAGGACAATGATATATGCATTGTGCAATGCATTTTCAAGGTTAAAGTATTGATTACTGTACATCAAGAGATTAATCTCCATTAATTCCCCAAACCTCTATGTAATTTATTCATTGGCTGTGGTTAATTAAGTCAATGTCAAGACTCAGGACTTAAAAAAGTTGCTTCCAAACACGGTTCTATGTAGATGGAAAATATCAGACAATTTGTATGAGCGTAACTTCTACGTTTGGTATTTTGAGGTCATGTTCATGTAACGTTGTTTGTACAATATATTTTTAAGGTTAAATGCTTAATTTGATCCTTTAACTTTAAGAAATAAACATTTTTGGTCCCTTAACAATTTTTTACACTTTTTTGATCCCTCAACTATACAAAATGCACTCCGTTAGTCCTTCTGTTAATTTGAGCCGTTAACTTGAGCCGTTAACCCTGCTTAGGTGGCATTTTTTATATTTTTTTTGATGATGTGGAGAGCATAACTTAAAAAAGTGATGACATGCATCCATGTCACATGCTACCTAGCAAAATCACGCCCAATACATCCAAATGGGTCCCACATCACCATCTTTGCCCATCAGTTACTGTTTTTCTTCCTTCCATATTCGACAGAACCCAGCAGATCTGGGTTCGATGTAAGCCAGCAAATAGGTTCCATCGAACCCAGCTCGATTCATTGAACTCAATTGCCCAAAAATTCCTCATAACAACCTGCAATTGCCCAAAAATCCCTCAAAAACAACAACCTGCAATTGCCCAAAAATCCACAACAACCTGCAATTTGAATAATCTCTTGGCAAACAATCATATAACAAAAACAAAAAACCAGTTGCCCAAAAATAACTAACAACAATCTGTAATTTGGATAATCTCGCAAACAATCATATAAACAAAAAAAAAAAAAAAAGTGGAGCTGGGTTCCGTCGAACCCAGCAACTGGGTTCGCTAGAACTCAGGCAGGGTTCCATCGAACCCAGCAAACTGGGTTCAATGGCCTGTCGAGGAAGAAGAGGAAGAAAAAGAGGAAGGAAGAAGATGAAAGTTTTTTATTTTTTATTTTTAAATATAAATAATGTGAATTGGCATGAAAAAAAAATCCACATCATGAAAAAAAAAATCCACATCAACACGTTTTTAATTTGTTTTTGCCACGTCATCAAAAAAATAATAAAAAATACCACATAAGCGAGTTAACGATCGAAATTAACAGAATGACTAACGGAGTGCATTTCTTAGAGTTGAGGGATCAAAAAAGTGCAAAAAATTGTTGAGGGACCAAAAATGTGCAACTCACTAAAGTTGAGAGACCAAATTTAGCATTTAACCTATTTTTAAAAAGTTTTGAAATGCGAAAATTGGATGCTTTTATTTAAAATTTAGAAGTCAATTAATTAATCAACTGATTTTTAAACAATAAATTTATAAGAAATTTTTTAATTTGTGTCCTAAATCTTCTTTGTTGTAGTATTTATCACTAATTTAATATAAATTTTTATA